ACAGATTTGAAATTTATGACCTTTGTAGTAAATTGGACCTTTAAGCGGGGACAGAATTCAGTCCATGAACCTTCTTCAGGGCGTTGCGGACCGTCAAGTTCGTTTGAAGTCATTCATTTGATAAACAAGGATAGACAAGTTCGTTTTTCAGAAAGGTTGACAACCACGCGCAAAGTTCGGCAGCCTTGCTTCAAAGGCGCACACGCGCATTCGACATACATCACATGATCGGACTGATTGCATCGTATGACGTCATGCTGATTAGAAGAGTCGTTTCGACTTTGTCACTACTCGTAGTAGTTTGGTTTTCGCATAATTCTCGTGTTTCTGTGATTTATCGCCATGTTAGTACATACATACATTGCTTGCCAGTCACAGTGTCCGCGCGCTCTGAGGCATGAATTGTCTTCGGCCGCTCGAACAGTGGATCGTGGGTTCGAATCTCCCTCGAGACATGAATGTCTGTGTGCGTTTATTCTGTCCCGTGTGTAGGTAGAGGCCTTGCGACGGGCTAATTCCCAGTGCGAGGAGCGCAACCGATTGCATACAGCAGCCATGTCCAACGCGTCGATCGCGGAACGATTTTTGGTCGATCTCATAGGCCTATAAGGAAATTATACGTGAAAAGCATGTATTTACTTGTAATATAATATGATCGTATTCAGATTTTGAAGGGATTATACGTGTTAAAGTAGTCTGTACTTTCAGTGTATGTTGCTTTTACAACAAACATCATGTGTCGTATTATTTTTACCAATATTTTTGCTTAAAGCGAGGTTCGACAATAGAAGGGAGTGGTAGATCACTGGCAGGTTTGACACTAAAAAGTCGATCACAACCTGTTTGAAGTTGGACATGCCTGGCATATAGTATTACGAAACTGGAAAAGCGCCACAACCCGACAAAGGGTGGTAGAGCCATAGATGAAATGAATGAATCAATGAATGGGGTACATTGCTTCCTGTTAAATCAGTGGTTCCAACCTGGTAGGGGGTTCCGAGCAGGAGGCGTGAAGCAGTGAGAACAAGAACACATTCAGCAGAAATAATTGTTTTAGCTGCGTTTAACCATCCGCCAATAAACGCCCTTCATAATTGTTAATCCAGACATTAAGAAACACTATAGCAGTTGGATTTCAGCATTTTTAGCGATGCTCATTGGCAAGCGAACATCACTATGCGACGTTTCCGTTTTAAGAATACGATTTTTTACACATAGATTTGTCAGTGGTATTACGAGCCGGGATAAGTCAAACGGTGTAGCTACGGGCTGGTGGACGCCCGGGGTTTGATTCCCGGTATGTGCAAGAGATTTTTCTGTACTCACAGCGTCTGGGCCCCACGCAGCGTCCCATCCAGTTGGCACTNGGGGGGGGGGGGGGGGGGGGGGGGCTCCCGAGCGGTGAACCTGACTACCACCATCTAATGCCGTTAAGAATGTTGGAGCAATACCTCCATTCCCTCATACGAATTCATGGCATTGTTCTTAATTGATTAATCTCAAGGACGACTTTGTCTCTTACCTTAACTTTTGCCGGTTAAGATTTAGTTGATCACTAAGGAAAATGTAAATATGAGTGCAAAGGTTGTAATCACTACGCATGCGCGGTGCATATGTAGGTGAATCAGTTATTGTCACGATAAGTTACCCAGAATTCCACGCGTGCGAGTGTGACCGCATGGCGCTGACAGAACCGCTGCTGGGGGTCCACATGCTTTGGGTCCTTAACACGTCTCTTTGTTTGCAGTTTGAGCTTCTCATAGCTGTGGCTATGTGACGCCGTGTAGTCAGTTGCAAGTTTGCTCGGTTTGCTCTTCGACCGTGAAGAAGGATGCACCACGTTACTCCCAGGTGCCTATACAGTTCTGCAAGACTTCACTCGCATTCCAGAAGATGGTTACTGTTGAAATGTTTTGTGATTTTAAGTTTAGGTCAAGTTTATTTTCCCCTTTGGTGCCAATCACAGTGGCTGCGCATTCTTCGCCTGGTCAAACACTGGGATTGTGGGTTCGAATCCCACTCAAGGCATGGATGTCTGTGTGCAGGTCGCGGCCTTGCGACGGGCTGATCACTCGCCCAAGGAGTGTAGACCTATAGATAGATTATTTCCTGTAAGTCTCAAGAAACAATATGCTTATGGGGTAATTTTTCTTGTTTATTTAATGACGCTTTCAATAGCTACAATAAGCCGGAAAGTCGTGAGTTTGATTCCTGATGAAGTCATTAGATTTTTCACTTTACCTAATCCTTCCAGCCACTGCAGGGCGATATAGCATTCTTATGTGATTCATACATCGTCTGTCCACAGAGACTAAACTGAAGACAAGTGAGTTAGGGACACGCGAGGCACTATGCTGTACGCCAGGAGATCGCACGTTCGATTCGCAATGAGGTCATCGGTTTCTTTCGATTGCCCTAATCCTTCTAGCCGCACTATTGCCCTGGCTTCGATTCAGCCTCTAATAGAAATGAATACCAGGGATCTTCCTGGGGGTAAAGGGCGGCCGGCGCATACGGCTGACAACCTCACCGTCATCCGTGAGCCGATTTTTTAGAAAATGTGGGTGCCTCGTCGTCTCGCATCCCTGTGGGCCTCCACGGCCTGTTACAGGGATAGGTTTTAATTTTTCTTGTTGACATTGTTATGTCGAAATTCGCTAGGAACAAACTATTCTCTATATGTCTGGCGTTAAAAGTGAAAGTGACGCCTCGAATTCGGGAAATCTGCCAGTAGCATCATCGTACATATTAATAGAGCCACAAATTGACTACAGCGTTTGAAGATGACGTAGCGATGCGTCGCCCACCGGGAGCTGTTGTTAGGAGTCCGAAGTGCGCACGGGTTTAACTGGCAACTGCCACTTTATTTCGTTTAGTTTTTTTCCTTCTTTTGAGTAAAGCTGAACGGACTGTTTATACTTCCTATCCTAGTGTACACAGTGCAATCCGTATTTCATTTCTTTGTTTGTTTTGCGATTTCTTGGTGGGAGCGAATTTTTGGCAACCGAATGTACGGCTCTTCCCCCCCCCCCCCACCCCCCTTGTGCCTTATGTTGTGTGTAGCGGCGTTCTTTTCGTGTTTT